GAGGGGACCTTGTATGGGAGCTATGACCAATTATGGACCGATCGAAAAAAACTTTCACAGTAATATTTTTGTGCATTTGAGCAATACTTGTTCCAAATTTTATATGTATTTCTTAATTTAGTAATGAGTTGTTGCGCGTTTAAGTGATTTTCGGGAAGGGTCTTTGTATGGGAGCTGTGACCAATTATAGACCGATCGAAAAAAAAATTTCGTAGTAATATTTCTGTGCATATGAGCAATACTTCTTCCAAATTTTATATGGATATCTTAATTTAGTAATGAGTTATGTGCGTTTAAGTGATTTTCGGTAGGAGAACTTGTATGGGAGCTATGTCCAAATATGGACCCATCCAGAAAATTTTTTCTCCCAATGAATTCTATTGACATAAGATTTTAAGTTGTAAAATTTTGTGAAGATAACAGCATTCTGACGGAAGTTAAAAAAACTAATTTTCCGGGAATATGTACTTTTGGGTGGGAGGCATATGAAATTATGGACCGATTCTGGCAATTTTCAGCAGGAATTGAGATACTGTGTAGAAACGAATGTATGATGACTTTCATGAAATTATCTTGCATAGTTTTCGAAAAAATTACATCAGAATGTATAAAAAATCCCTATATGAACCGATTTTGCTCATTTTCAATACCAAACTGTACCGGATAATAATGAATATTATTGCTTAATTTCCATTGCTTCGTTTTAACGTGAGCGTGTTTTACACAGACAGACGGACGGTCATAGCTAAATCGACTCAGAATTTCATAAGGACCCAGAATATATATACTTTGTTGGGTCTCAGATGAATATTTCTTGGTGTTACACACGGAATGACAAACTTATATATACCCTCTGTTACCACTGATGGTGGTGGAGGGTATAAAAAGAGAAAAACCAAATAAAAAGTGGACGCCTGAAGAAATAACAAGTATGAAATTATAGTCGGGCCGACCATATAATACCCTACACCTGTTACAAAAATGAAATGTGATTTAGTTTTCATAATAAGTTTCATAAGTTGAATTGTACCTTGCCTCAGATATACTTAAGCCATTTATAAAATTGTGGACATTTAAGTCAAATTTTGAAGGGGGCTTTGTATAGGTGCTATGGTCAAATGAGACCCTATAATTATAGAATTCATGAGAGTCATCAAGGCTGGTATAGCACTTGGTTTTGCAGCTTTTTGTTGAGATACGAGTGTATTAAACATAGTTATGAATTTAAAAGCCCTAGTCGTCGGGTTGGGGGCCAGGTGAAATAATGGACCGATGTTAACCATTTTCAATAGGCTTTGTCTCCGGTACCATAGAAGATCATGTGCCAAATTTCATTGAATTATCTTCAAAATTGCGACCTGTAGTTTGATTACAAGGTTTACAAGCCCTATTCAGGGGTTCAGTTGTATGGGGGCTAGGTGAAATAATGGACCGATGTTAACCATTTTCAATAGGCTTTGTCTCCGGTGCCATAGAAGATCATGTGCCAAATTTCATTGAATTATCTTCCCTGGGACTATAGAAGATCATGCACCAAATTTCATTGAATTATCTTCAAAATTGCGACCTGTAGTTTGATTACAAGGTTTACATGGACGGACAGACGGAAATCGACTCAGAAAATGATTCTAAGCCGATTGGTATACTTTAAGGTGGGTATAGGACCAATATTATTGTGCGTTACAAACATCAGCACAAACCCAATATACCCTCCCCACTAAAGTGGTGTAGGGTATAAAAATAGTTTTGGATTATTTGGAGATGGTCACAAATATAGAGGTAAGTTTTTTAAACAAATAACTTCGTTTGTACAAGATATTTTGCTTTTATTTTTAGGTACCCACAGCACAAATTTTTAATAAAAAATTTATATTAAAAACCGGCATCAATTCCACTTGGGATCTTATGAGATGGAAAGTAAGGTATCTCAAGACCTCTTATAAAAGGCGAATGATTGGCGCAATTCTACGGGGGCAGGACTCTTGGAGTGTGATACGGGAACCTCAAGTGTAGAAGGTGAGCAATAAAGACATTTTTAAATAACTAATAGTGAAAGTTTTTAATATTTCATATTTTTAAACAAAAATTTTACAAATGTGTCCCCATTACCAACAATTAAGTAAAATTTTTGGTGAGTAAACACAAAATGAATTGGCGTTCCAAATTTTTGATTCGGGAGAGCCAACTACAATGGATGAATCGTTAATAATAGAGGACAGATATGAAATCTCATTCATTGTTGAGGATAACTCCTCACAAGATAGTGAATTTGTTCCTGTTGTAGATATTACTATTGAAGAAGCCGCAAAGACTTCAACGGGAGAAATTTCTCAAAAATCACACGAATTTGCGGAAAAAATTAAGAAATATGCTCCCAAATCATCCTCAGCTTATCTTGCCGCATTTCAAGCAGAACGAACTTCTTTATTTAAGTTTAAGTTCTAATGGGAAAAAGAAAGACAAGAGAAAGAAGTAGAATTTAATAGAAAAGGATAGCAAAAATGAAGGCGGATATAGAATTAAGAAAACACGAATTAGAACTTTTGCAGTGCGGCGGTTCTAACAGTTTCATGAGGAGTATGTAAAATAATAGTGTCTCGAATAATTTCATCAACAAAGTCTGTGTTGCAGTCTGCATTTTTACAATTAAATGTGCAGTTGCGCGCTAACCCACGAAGTTCGACAATCCAATTCGCATAGGACTCACCTTCATTCATCATCCGATTATGAAATTTATATCGCGCTGCTTAAATGTGAATTCTCGATTTGAAATATTCGTCTAGCTTTTGAATAATCTCCTCGAAGGTTTTTGAATCAATCTTTTCATTTCCAAACAGCTTTCCAACCAACTCAAACAGCTCATTTCCCATCCAAGAAATAAAAAACGAGCGCTTCTGTTCACTGTCCGTAACATCGTAGGCTTTAAAATGTTCCTTGAGCTGGGGCAAATACGTATTAAAATGCTGTGTATTCATGTCGAATTTTGGAAATACAGGTATAATTTTCTTTGAAGAACTTGCTCCTACATTCTCTGCAATAAACGGTCAAAAAATTGTTGCTGTGACTCCAAAAGCCTGTAAAGCCATGCTTTGCTCCATCTCGTCGCCAATTTGTTGCATTTAATACATTAATTAAACGAATGATTTTTAATAGGTGTAATTCAATTTATTATTTATTTAATTGTTACTGCTTGAGATTCTCAACTACATCTGGTAAAAGGTAATAGAGTTACCATTACTTTTATAAAACAAAAGAGTTTTAACAACTTATTTACAGTGATGTAAACTGCATAAAAGTAATTCATTTTACACTTAACAAAATTTAATATATAAACAAAATTTAATATATAAACATCAATAATTATGTTTAATATACTCATATCTCGACAAAAAGCTGCAAAAACCAAGTTGTATACAGGACTTGATGACCCTCACGAATTCCATAATAATAGGTTCTCATATGACCCCAGCCCCTATGAAAAGCCCCCCCCCCCCCCCATCAAAATTTGACTTAAATGTCCAGAATTTTATTCAACAATAAACGGCTTAAGTATGTATGTCTAAGGCAAGGTACAATTCAACTTAAATGCTTTATTATGGCAACTAAATCACATTATATTTTTGTCAAAGGTATGGTCCGCCACGCCCGACTATAATTTCTTACTTACAATTCTAGAAGAGGGGACGGGCAAAATTCGCAACTTCTTTTTTTTTGGAGCAATCTAATGTATATGTATATACTTACCTTAATCCTATATAATAAATACTTACCCGCTATAGTTCAATAAACGCATGAATTTGTAACGTTTTATGAAAAAAGAAAGAACAAAAGTGTTTATTTACATACTTACCCGCTACTTAAACTTAAACTATACCCTACCCTTTATAACCCGTTTAAACATTGGTCCTCACGAACCGTTAAAAAGTGAATTGAAACAGTGATACAGCCCACACAATTAAAAATAATAAATCATAAATAAAATAAAAGTTCACAATAAATAAACTAACTAAAAGAAAAATTACCCTATACATAAAAAGTGCTAACTAAAATAAACAAAACAAAAAGAAGCAAATTTGTGCGTTAAAATATTAAAAGTTTAAAAACAACAAATAAATAAAAACATTTTAAATAAATAACAATTATTGTTTAAAAATAAATTAAATAATAACACACAAGAACTACAAGAAAAAGTGTAAAAAATATAACACATCATTATTTAAATATTTAAACAAAACTTGAAACAAAAATTGTGAACAAAAAACAATACCCAAAAAATTACTTGTAAACACAAATTAACCCTTATTTATATACAACATTTACATACTTATATTTATATTGAGCAAAAAGTATTAACACAAAATATTACAAAATTACTCAAATATAAACAAGTAAGAAAGAAAGCAATAACAGAGTTAATAAGTGAATTGTGGATATTGAAGTCATTTTCCGAAGGGGGACTTTGTATGGGGGCTAGGGTCAAATGAAGTCCGATAATTTCGAAATTCGGCAAGGTCATCAAGGCTTGTATAAAACTTAGTTGTGCGAACTTTTATCGAGATACAGATATTATACAGAATTATGAGCTCAAAAGCTAGGTGAAATAATGGACCGATTTTAACCATTTTTAATATGCCTTGTTTCAAAAGAAACGTGTATGCCAAATTTCATCAAATTATATTGAAAATTGCGACCTATACTTTGATAACAACGTTTACATGGACACACGGACGGACGGACAGACATCGTTAAATCGACCCAGAAAGTGATTCTGAGTCGATCGGTATACTTAAAGGTGGGTATAGTACTAATATTTTAGTGCGTTACAAACATCAGCAAAAACGCATAATACCCTTTCCACTATAGTGGTGTAGGGTATAAAAGCCACATTAAAATATATACAATTTTCTGCCGATATTCTTGACCCGAAGAAGGCCGAAGCCATAAATTTAAGCGAAGTTGTTAAGCAAGTCAGATCTGCTAAAGGATTTTATAGGTCAAGCATGATCCCGATCGACGAATCGATTGAGGATATTACAAAGGAACATGAAACTCGACCATCTTTACCGGAACCCTCAAAACCCAGCAGTTCTGCAGGTTTCACAGTACCCCCTTGTGATATGCCAACGTTCAGCGGAAATTTCAAAAGCTGGGCATCGTTTAGGGATTTTCTTAAGGCCATTTATGGCAATAATACCCGTTTAAGTGGAGTTGAAAAACTTTTCCATCTTAAACAAAAAACAAGAGGCGAAGCCAAAGAAACAGTAGACAATGCACCCTTAACAAATGATGACTTTCTTATTGCGTGGAATCAATTAGCTTCTCAGTATGAGAATCGTGGGATGCAAATTAACGCGCAATTAAAAACCCTATTGAATTTACCATAAGTAGTGCTTCTAAAAGAAACCCCAAGAGAATTTGAGAAATCTCTCCAGATTGTGCAGAGATGCCTTCTTGGACTGACTTAGATGTATTTTTGACTAACACATTTAAGGAACCGAGCCTGATAAAATTTTGTGAATATATTTACATATATGTACATAATATTTTATTGTGCTGAATTTCATCGCGATATTTGTGTTTATAAGTTAATTTTGGACATTCGAGTAATTTTCTGAAGGGGACTTTGTATGGGAGCTAGGGTCAAATGAGGCCTGATCTCTATGAAATTTGGCAAAGTCATCAAGGCTTGTATTAAACTTAGTTGTGCCGCTTTTTATCAATATACAGGTATATTTAACATAATTATGAGCTCAGACGCCCTTTTCGGGAGGTTCTGTTGCATGCGGGCTAGGTGAAATAATGGACCGATTTTAACCATTTTCAATAGGCTTCGTCCTTCGGCCAAAAAAGCATGTGTGCCAAATTCATCCAATTATCTTGAAAATTGCGACCTGTACCTTGCGCACAAGGTTTACATTGACAGCCAGTCAGCCAACCAGACGGACGGACTGACATAGCTTAATCGACTCAGAAAACGATTCTAAGCCGATTGGTATACTTTAAGGTGGGTATACGGTATATTTTTGTATGTTACAAACATCAGCACAAACCCAATATATCCTCCCCACTAAAGTGGTGTAGGGTAAAAAAAGTCTATAAAAAACTATGACAGAATAGACGTGTTTAATTTCTGTCCGTAAATTAAATGTTTAGTTTGGAAAATTAAGTTAATTTAAAGCTTTATTTTACAAAACAAATCTGTGTTATAGAAGATATATTTGTGAATATTTAAATTGTTAAAAATGCATTAATAACAATAAGAAATAATAATATAAAGTTTACATAGAAATAATTAACAAAAGCATGCTTAAAAATCAAAAATTCAAAAACATAATTAGTGGTTTAAAAACAACAATAAACAAGTAAGAAGTTATAGTCGGGCGTGGCCGACCATATGATACCCTACACCAATTGCGAATATTAAATGTGATTAATTTCAATAATGAAGCATTTCTGTTAAACTTATATAGGTTCCAAATAATGTCTGTTCATGTACGGTTGTATGCTGACTAGGAGAAATAAAAGACCGATTTCAATAATTTTCAACAGCCTTCGTCATTGGATCCAGAGAATAGTATGTGACCCATTTTAACAAATTATATTCAAAATTGTGATCTGTTGCGTGCACACAAGGTTTACACGGTCACAAAGACGCACATAGCTTAATAAGGACAAATATTTTTGAGTGTTACAAACATCACCACATTGTGCCAACTTTTAGATAGATAGTAGTATATTAGACGTAGTTAAAAGATAAAGGTCCGGATGTATGGGGGCTAAGGCAGAAATTGAGCCGATCCTTATAAAATGTATTATTGGGAATTATCTATATATATATAAAAATGAATGTGTATTTGTTTGTATGTTTATATGTTTGTGTGATTATATGTTTTCTTCAGATTTTCATAGCGTATTCCTGTATATCTGGCAATAGGCTCCTTTTTATTTCCGATCAGGGCGAAAAATTACAGTGTTATTTATAATTATATCAAACTTAGTTGTGCCAATTTTTGGGAAGATAGTAGTATATTTGTCGTAGTTATGAGCTAAAAGGCCAAAATCGGTAGGTCCGGTTGTATGGGGGCTAAAGCAAAACTTGGCCCGATCCTTATAAAAATTAATGTCGACATTTATGTTTATATAAAATCTATTTGTGGCAAATTTCATCGTAATACTAGTGTTTATAAATGATGAATGGACATTCAAGTCATTTTCTGAAGGGGATTTTGTATGGGGGATAGGGTCAAATAATGCCCGATCATTATAAAAATCGACAGTGTTATTTATAATTATATCAAACTTAGTTGTGCCTTGTGATTTTTGGAGAGATAGTAGTATATTTGACAAAGTTATGAGCTAAAAGGCCCAAATCGGAAGGTCCGGGTATATGGGGGCTAGGGCAAAACTTGGGCCGATCCCTATAAAATTTATTATGTCTATACAAAACTCATTTTTGCCAAATTTCATCGTGATACTAGTGTTTATAAGTGAATTGTGGACATTCAAGTCATTTTCTGAGGGGGACTTTGTATGGGGGCAAGGGTCAAATAAATTTTTCCAATTTTTGTAGAGATAATAGCTCATTTAACATAATTATGAGGTCAAAAGCCCTATTCGGGGGTCCGGTTGTATGGGGGCTAGGTGAAATAATGGACCGATTTCAACCATTTTCAATAGCGTTCGTCCTTGGACCAAGAGAAGTGCATGTTCCAAATTTCATCAAATTATCTCAAAAATTGCGACCTGTAGAGTGCGCACAAGGTTTACATGGACACACAGACAGACAGACAGACAGACATTTTGTATTTTTGGGTGTTACAAACATCAGCACAAACGCATAATACCCTCCCCACTATAGTGGTGTAGGGTATAAAAACATATGAGAAAAGTGCAAAGAAAAATTAATGAAATCCAGATATATTAATTATAAGGTAGTGTTATCAGAACAGCTGATCGTTTTTTGCTATTATGATCATTTTTCGCCGTGGTGTATAATCAAACTTTGTTTACATTTTGTAAATGTCAAATTTTGTTTTCATTTTGCTAATGTCAAACTGGTATCATTTTGTACATGTGAATTTTGTGATTAAAGTGAAATTGTGTGACTAGGGTATATTTTTGTGTTTTTAATCTTTAAACGTTTAAACATCAAAATAAATTATAAAGAGATTCAAATTTATTAACATTTTTTGTTTAATATAAATCGCTTTGATTTATTTGTGAGCTTAAAACGAAATTTTTCCCTTACAGCCAATTCGCTTTCAAGTACAGGCACAATGTCAAACTACATACAAAAAAAATATAACCAATTCGCTTGGTATTCTAAATTCGCCGATGACACTACCTTATAAAATTAATATACATTGAATGAAATAATAAAAAAAAAACAATTACACCATAAATAACTCTTATACGCATATTCTCTTATATTGAACATAAGTATATGATTTAAAGCTAATCAACAATACCAAAAAGTTGTTTTATACAAAACTGCTACATTTCAAAATTAATAAAGAAACAATAAATCAAGTAATTAAAAGAAAAGAGAATAAATAATATCCACAAAGAATTAACCCTGCCAGCAAATTTGAGTTTAATTTTGGATACATGAACTGAATAGTCACTATAAAGGCTCAATTTTATGTTTCTCAGTGCTAAGTTAAAAAATTTACAAAAACAAAATACAGTACTTTCTAATTTTGATCATAATTTTGTTAAATTTTAGTGCGTTTTAATATACCAAAAGCAAAATTAAATGATAATAAGTAGATAGAATAAAAATTTCAAAAACTAACACTTTTTAATACACTAAGAAGATAGTTTAATGCAGAATCATTCTTGCTCTCAAAATTCAGAAGGAAAGTGTTTGCACATTTCAGTAAATATATTTATTTCATTGTGATCAGTTGTGTGATATATTGTGAAATTTAGATTTTGTAATAAATTGTGTTAATTTAAAATTTAATATATTTAAAACATAGTTTAATATAAAATAAGCATCAGTGAGGGATTAGTGAGTGCAAAACAGTATAATAAAGGAGAAATAAAAAAAATTATTATAAAGTCGCTTTTATATCATAAAAGAGTATAAAATCATAACACTTTCCAGCTTCTCTATTGTTATGGCAAAACTGGAAATTTACTACATTTACGAAATTTTATGTTATAAAAAAGTGACTTGAAACTGAAACGAAATGGGCACATCAAGTAAGTATTAAACAGGCGGAACAGTTTCTTCCGAACGGGGTCACTTTTCATTCACTCAGATTATATCAAATTAGATTGTTTTAAACATTAAGCTGTAACGTTATGGTTACAATTTGGATAGAAATTGTTGGCAGGGTAAAAGAAAGTAAAAGAGAATAGACGACTTAAACGCTCAAAAATCAAATCCATATATATATATATATATATATATATATATATATATATATATATATATATATATATATATATATATATATATATATCAGGGTAGGTAAAAATATCGCTCGCGATCGCTATTTTATTATTTATATCGCTCGTTTTTATTTTTCAACACGCGAGCACAATTTTAATTAGAGTTTTATGTGTTTTGTATTCGTTTCGTAAGCGATATTTACATGTTTTTGTTTTTTTCAACTCGCTTACGAGCGAGTGGAAAACGAGTTGAATTCGAGCCGAAAATCAACAAAGTGTGCGTGCAAGAAACAGGTTCTGTTGTGGTAGTAAAATAGAACCAATAATATGGGAAATAATTATGTATGTGTGATTGTGTAGCCGTAGGTTTTATGACGGTCTGACAAAGCAAAAGTGGGAAAGTATAAGAAATATATTGTCCACCCTTATTTAAATGTGTATGTTTTTTATCTGTATTTATGTATGTACATATGTATATTGATGGACATGCAAGTGATCTTTAAAAATTTTTTTTATTTATTACTGCCGGTTTCTCTAATGCGAAAGAACATTTTCTTTCTTACAAATATATTGAAAACAACACGTGTTGAATGATGTATTAGTATGTATGTATGTTATGTATGTATGTATGTATGTATGTATGTATGTATGTATGTATGTATGTATGTATGTATGGTATGCTATGTATGTATGTATGTATGTATGTATGTATGGTATGTATGTATGTATGTCTGTATGTATGTATGTATGTATGTATGTATGTATGTATGTATGTATGTATGTATGTATGTATGTATGTATGTATGTATGTAGTATGTATGTATGTATGTAGTATGTATGTATGTATGTATGTATGTATGTATGTATGTATGTATGTATGTATGTATGTATGTATGTATGTATGTATGTATGTATGTATGTATGTATGTATGTATGTATGTATGTATGTATGTATGTATGTATGTATGTATGTATGTAGTATGTA